AGCTTCCTATCTTTTCGCGTTCCCGAGTTATCAATTTTCCCGCCAAAACTTTCCCCCTCTCTTACGTGGGGACTAGGCGTGCGTGAGGGATGGTACCGCGGTTCGGGATGGTACTTGGCCGGGGTACCCATTAGCAAAATGTAGGCGCTGGAACTTGCTTGGTTGCCGAGTTGAAATACCCGGACAGACGAACACACGCACGCACACACACACACACACAAACATACACACACATACACACATACATACATACACACACACACACGCACAGACGGGGTCGTCTCAATATGCGTTTTTGCAATTTGCATATAGGCAAAAACGCATAAAAACGCATCTTTGCACGGGCAGTCCATACGTTGGCCAGTTATTTTATTTTTAATTGGTAATTTTTAGTTAATTACTTTTCAGAATGATTTTGTGCTGAGCATACGTTTCGAGGACCCATTCCATGGTATCATCTATAGCGAGAAGGGCTTCCCAAATTGCATCTATGTGAACGCATCAATTCTTTCACAAACTTCCTATACCATTAAGGTTTGTTGTGCACTCTTCCGAAGCCATTGTTCGGAGGGAAAGAGGAAAAAGAGAGCAGCAAGAGGGGAAATGCCTTTTATCCTTGCGAATTATTACTTTCATCCTTTTGATGACACTCTCTATGTATAATTGCTTCTTACCAAAATTGCATAAATTTTCCGCTTCTGTTACGTACGTAATTGCGAAAGAAAATTTCAAATTTCGCAAAAATTACATTCATTCACCAACATCAGCTTACTGGTAAGCAACCCTCGAAAGAGCGAGCCATTGACAGCGTTGCCAGCGAGTGGTTGCTATTGGCATTTGCTACCACTCGGTTTGCTTCCCGAGTGTCTTCGCTTCTCAATTCACGCAAATGCTGGAAGGGTTTTTGATTTTTTGACTTTTGTATTTGTTTGATCGGGTTGTTCGAATTACCTTCTCCACTTGACTTGAAGCAATTAAGCAATCCTCAAAAAAGACGTCGATTGCCTTGCAGTGTGAATATCCGTCGGTAGTATGCTACCACTTAAATTATTTTCGAATTCCTCTTGTTCTTTCAAAGAGTATGGGGTTTTTGACAATGAGGATTTTGACTTATACCTTGAGTATTTGAAAAATTTATAATTCCTGAGCTGTTTTTCTAACTGGTAGCTTTTCCTGATCTTTCGGGCTGTAACGTTCGGGCGGAGGAGGACCTGGAGTTATGGTGCCTGCCTGCAGGGAAGCGCTACGGCAGCTGAGCAACACCAAGCAACAAGACTCACTTCTTTATTAGTACAATCACAGAAAAAAATATTTAAAAAGAACGCGACGAACCCGAGATCCGCCCGGCAGCAGCTCCAACCTGCCGCCGCGTACTTCTAGACCGCGCAAAAGAATACAATTACAATCAATTTCGTTTCCATTCATCACATTAAATATTACGGAGGGGGGAACTCGAGCCAAGAGACGGGGCATTTGCATATTGCAGGAAACCGAAGGGCAACTGGACAAGGCGAAGGGGGTTGAGCCTCCAACTTCGCTTCCTTGTTACTAGCTCTTTCTTCCTTTTGCAACAGGACAATAGTCCAGTTGGCAAGCCTGCTGGTAATTTTGACTTTCATTTTTTCTCCTAAAAGCTGCACTTTTTGTGATAGGAAAGCATGCCAAAGCTTTCGTTGTTCCCGGTTATTCTTGGTGTGTACTGAACATTATCAACTTATCTGTAACCCCCCGTGTAAGATATATTATCGACTGAGGATTCATCACAGTATAAAAGAATTCATGCCTGGATTGTTCGGAAGCCAGCCTTGATTATCGTGGAATTTAGGTACCACTGGATGGATGTGAAACGGCGTATAATACGGATGGCCATTTGGAAAATGCTATAGTGATCCAGGAAAGTTCTTCACGAGTCAGTGAATCCGATAAGAAATATTTGCTGACATGCATTCCGGCATCTACAACAGTCAGGCAAGATGTGTCTCAGTTGTGCGGTAAATATAGGTGCCCAGCACGGAGCAGACGTAGACTTACGGGATTTCTTTTAACACAAAATTGGTGAGTGAACTGGTCCATGCCAAGGGAAGTTTGGCTGGTGATTTTTAGCTCGTCAAACTGAGCTTATGGAATTTCTACTCCATGGTGCAGTTTGTTCCTAAGAAATAATATTACCTTAACTTGGACCACAAGCCAGGACATCATGAGGACTGAAACTCAATTCCAGGTTTGTGCTAAACCTTCAAAATTTCAGAACTCTATTTCATAGCAGCAATGCTTCGTCGTCAGGTGATAAGCCTGCTAGCATTTTTAACAGCTTTTTTAATTGCTTTGACTGATGGTCAGCTTGCTGGCGATTCTGACAAAACAGATAATGCAGATGGTAGGAATGACCTCAGCACTATTAATTTTTATGCGTTTTTTGCATCTATGCAATGCAAAAACACATAGTGTCGAGAGGTTTTCTCTGTGTGTGTGTCTGTGTGTTCTTCTCTACCAATTTTTCATCTCGACACCTACAAAAATTAAAAAATTGTGAGAACTTAATCTACGTGAACATACGGGCCCCCACTCCCAAAATGGGTGCTCTTACCTACGTGGTACTCACGCACGGGCCAGTGAAAATTTTTGGCCGGTAATTTGCTAACTCGAGAACCAGGAAAGCTAGAAAGCTTAAATTATAAGGGCATATTTCCTAACAGCCCTGGCGGCCAGTCTCAATTCGTTTAGCTACAACCGGTGCAGTTAGCAACAAAAACCTGCAGGGAACTATGCAGAAAACGTATCTTCGCAGTGACAGTCAGTGCGCTGGTCATTTATTGGAGTTTTTATTAAATCTTCAAAATTTTCATATTCACTTTCTTAACTGCTTTCAGTTTTTTATCAGAAACTGTGAATTTCGGTGGCATAACAGTGGATAGTCGGTCGATTACAGCAGCAAGTGTCAGTGCAACGGGTTTCATGGATCCGCTGCATCTGCAGTACAAAGTGGAACTTTATAAGACGAACACCGATGGAAGCTTGCATCCAGTCACTGCTCCCGTCTCCGTTGGCGATAATATCGTGAGTGCATAGTTTGTTGCGCTTGCAAATTCGTCAAAATTGAAAAATCTCTTCAGAATTTATTCGATGCGAAAAGCGAAAGCAAGCGGAAGTAGCTTGAACGATAGAACACGTCAAATGCAGCCAACAGATGTTTTAATGGACCGAAACATTTCTTACCATTATAATAATTTTAATAAAATAATTTTATTACTTTTACTAATTTTTTAATATTATTTTCACTTCTATTTTTTTTTCCTGTTTCAAAATACCTTTCTATTGTAAG